AGCTCCTAGGCTCTGGAATTCCCTCCCCCAAGATCTCCGTGACTCTGAGTCCCTCACAGTCTTTCAGTCCCGCCTCAAAACACATCTTTTCAACTCTGTCTACCCATAAGCCCCCCCCCCCTCTCAATCAACTTCCTCTTGACTGCCTTTTTATTTTACTATACTTACTTACTTGTTTGCCTGTCCTTGTTTGTCTACCCTCCCTCATATTGTAAAGCGTCTTTGAGTTGTGAAAGGCGCTATATAAATAAAATGCATTATTATTACTGCAGATATCTCCAACACACACACAAAAACAATCTAAATAGGGAAATAGACCTAATAAGTAAAATAAAAAATAAGTATTTTCAATTTGTGGTGAACTGTCCCTTTAACTACAGTGTATACAAGTTGGTAAAGCAAACTCACCACGCCACCAGAGATGTAACCTTTGTTTCCCATAAGGGCACTTGCATGGCAGCCTCTGGGCGTAGGGGCAGGACCCTGGACACAAGAAAGAAATTGACAAACAAATAAAACACAGATAAAAACACATAAATAAATACTACAGCCCTCTCTGTTAACTACAGGCTTACATGAAATCATGTTGCACTCACCCGAGTCTCTGGCGTACTCCACATGGCCGTATGTGGTTCATAAACACTGACTTCATTGTTCCAGCCCCAGCACCTGAATAAAACGTCTCCAATGGTTGCCTGAAAAAGAAGAGATTGGAATATGATGAGTGCCAAACAAGCAATATGTTAAAGTAAGCATACAGTAAGCTGCATGGTTGTTATCATTTACCCAGGACATCTCATCCACGACAAAGCTTGCTGATGTTGTGTTCTGTACCTGTCCTATCGTCTTACACCCATATCCACCAAAGTAGATTAATCTGAGCCAAGGGGGAAAAAAAAGGAACACGTCACATGTTGTACGAAAACTGATAGTATTTTGTGATAAATCTAAAGAAAAAACATAGAAATCCACTTTTTCATTTTAAAACCTCCTAAATATGTATCATTTACAGCTAATCTTGGTGTGCTGCCGTGGGATTTCACACACACACACACTGACCTGTCTCTATGAACCCAGCAGGAGTGTTTGTTTCGAGGTGAGGGCGTCGTTCCCTTTGTGTCGGTCACTTTCTTCCACGTGCAGCTCTGCTCTGTGAGATCAACGCTGAACATCTACAAACAGGAGAGTACAATTCATTGGAATCAAGAAGCTGCCATCTTTATCATGGAGTGAGATTTATAGTTTGAGATATCTTTCATTGCTGCTTAGGATGTGCATCAGTAAAAACACTCGATTCTGTCTGTCTGTCGATTGATCTCAGGTTTTTTTTTTGTGTTATCATTTTAAAAGCCTTTTTGATTGCCTCTGTGTAATGCTAAGCCTGTCAGACACCAGATCATCAGATCACAAATGGATAAACTGCATTTTTCTTGTGAACACGCCCTGGGCTTGGCATGATGTACAAGACAAACTTCATATCTGGCATTCACAACAAGTTTTAAAAATGTAATGTCCCTGGATGAGCCCTGTGGTGCTCCTCAGCTGGCTTTTTAAATATATTTAAAGTCTCCAAAAATAAAATGGGTGAGGCCGCTTTTATCCACTACGCTCCCAAACTGTGGAACACCCTACCAGGAAATATCTGAGAGGCCAACTCAGTGGACATTTTTTAAACGACAGTTAAAAGATACATTTTTCCAATTAGAGACACCCCACTTTTTATATGGTCTTTTAATATTTGGTTATTTTTATATTGTTTATCAGGTTTTGACTTTTAATATTTATTTGACCATTTTATTAGCAAGATTCCCTTTTAAGTTGATGTTTTAGACATTTGTTAATTATTTCATTTGTATTATTAGTGTCTTTTATAGGTATTTTCATAGTATCTTATTTATTGATTTTGTTTTCCTTTATTTTACCAAAAGGGTTCACCATTTAATTGTTACATACAGTAATCTGCTACATAATCTTTTTTTATTTTGTTTTGTTTTTTGCTGCATGTAAAACTGCATGTTGTGTTTTATATCGTGATGTGAGCCTTGTCAAAGCACTTTGAGCTGCACAGTGTATACAAATAAAGCTTATTATTATTATTATAATAATACACTGTATCAATTTTTAAATTTTGACAAGTTTAGATCTAACAGACAATGCCTTACAAAAGATCTGGGTTAAAGCAAAATGTTGCACAGCTAACAGAGCTCAGAGCTTTTTATAAGTCTGTTTATTTGTTCAAATTGTTGCCTTTGTTCCATTTATTTTAATCAAAAACCTGTAAGTTTTTTTGAAAGTACATTCCCTTTATCCGGTTAATCTCTGATCTCTTGTAAAAATAGACGATGTATCCTAAAAAAAAAAGTATGTATTCTTAAGAGGACATTTCAGTAATACCAAAAGATACCCCAAAAAAGATTTTGATACAAAACTGAAAAAAAGGACATCTTCATAATTATTTGACACATGATGGCAGGAAAAATAAACTTAAATGTAAAGCATATGCAGCATCTTGTTCCAGGAATAATGTACAGATGGAATTTTAAGTCATCAAGTGAAGTGAAAGACACTTTTAAAAAAGGGGCCATATTATGCTCATTTTCTGGTTCATTTTTGTGACTCTACTGGGACATGTTTCCATGCTTTAATGTTCAAAAAGCTTTCAATTGTTCTCATACTGCCTGAGGTGCACCTCTTTTCACCCTCTGTCTGAAACCATTGCCCAGTCTGCTCTGATTGGTCAGCTGGCCGGCTCTTGTGATTGGTCAACCGCTAAGAAATGTGAGGGCTAACTAATAAAAGCACAAGTGATACATAGTGACGTCACCATGTCGGAAGCAAACAAAGTAGTTGATTGTATGTGACCGGTTTTTTGTATTGTTCTTTTGTTGTTCTCCTTGGTAAGGTCACTCTTAACCTCTCAATGAGATTTCTTGTACCTGGTTAAAAACAGGTGCTCAGCTCAATGACTGCAGTTTAAGGACAATACACAAGGGCCACAAACTGCTTCCGCTGCTTTTGCAAACACGCTTTTTGGTAGTCAAGGCAACTCACCTGGTTTGTGTATCCAACAGGGTCGCATCCTGCAAAGATGTAGAGTGTGCCGTTCAGATAAGAGCCACAGGATCCAGATAAATCTGGTGCTTTGTCACCGTTGATATCCCTCATCTCCCTGGGTCACAAAAAAGGAAAAAGTTGGTAAGAAACAGATGAAATGTGACCTCAACCCTTGTGCTTGGTTTGCACTATAGTTGGCTTTTTAATCTGGGATTTATTCAACAAATTCTCCCTTTAACTGCACCCTTTTGCACAGTCCCTGCATCTTGTTTTCAACATTTCACATGGTCGAGGCCGACATCCACAGCTTTAAATGTCAAGGTCGACACAGTGTTCATATCAGCTGATTAAACTACATCTTACCAGGTCCCACTGTACAAATCACAGAGCCATATCTCATCACTGGGCAACACAATGTCCTCTCCACCAACTACCTGAGAGGAAGAGGAGGAGATACAGTCAAAGTATGAACACATCTTGTACCTGTACTCTTATCTGAGGAATAAAGCCACGAAAAATGTGGGAGTGGTTAAAAGCATCAAAACAAGTAAATGACTTGTGCGGTTTAGTAGATAAATGTTGTAATCTTATAGCAACAATGAGGATGCAACAAGATAGACACTGGGAAATGCTTTCTTTGTTGGAACATGTTTTGCTCTGCGGCTATAAAGTTGCTTTTGAGAGCTCTCAACTTCTGGTTTCTGTACACAGGTGTACACTCAGTATCCAGTTTATGTAGGTAATCCAAAGCGAATGCAGCAGTCATGATATAAATCCTCCTGTCATGATGTGTAGTTACAATAACACTATTAAATAAAAAAGTTGTTAATTCAACTGTATTGTCAATTTCAAGTCAGGTGTTGGTTTCCCCCATAAACATATCAATAAGGATGGACAAATGATAGAAAAAAAACATATTGTGAAGCAAAACCACAAAATACATCTGCCTAAAAACTCCTGTTCAAACCAATTTGAAGAACACCTGAGGCTAAAGCTCACGATCAATCACAGTTTTCAATTATTCTTGGTCAAGTGGTAAAATGTCATTATGTCAGCATGCCACTTTACACAACAACCAGAACATTAAAGTAACCATTGGACACATGGATACTTTAAAAAGGCAGATATATTTACCTGCACAGGTAAAACTAGCCTGTGTTTCTCACCTTGTAGCCTCCCCACACATACAGCGTGTTGTCCTCTATGAACGCCGTGTGACTGCATCTCTCCAGTCGGCTCTCCGCGGCGCTCCTTTCCGAAGCAGCAGCATCCATCCCCGCAGCTCCGGTTCTCCCGACGCAGCGGTCAGATAAAAACAAGTAAAATGGGCACCGGAGAGAGGGAATGCTGTGAGGAATGTTGTGGCGGCTCAGAGAACAGGGATATGCTGCTCCAGGCTACGCAGAGAAAAGCCGACTGGATTGCTGCGTTCACGGAACGTGTTTTACAGGCTTTGCTGTCATCACTTACTCCTCCCATTATCAGGATCCCTGCTGTTCTGCAACGGTGCGTCACCTTTTAGGGTTGCACACATCTTTAGAAATTCGGGGTACCCCTCAATTACTTACTATTTTAAGTGTTTCCATTGCTTTATAATTTAGTTAATGTACATTTTTCTCCCTTTTAGGTCACACTTTCTGCAGTTACATCAAAAATAAAACTGAGAAATGTACATGTTGACTCCATTATCGCAGGTGTGAGTGATTGCGTTAATAATGTAATGTAAGGATTTGCTCGTGCATGTTGGCCTAATGCCAGAAGGCAATCATTAAGTGATTAGCAGCACCTGTGCTTTGAGGGAAGTCTGCTCTTCAACAATAGGACTTTTTCCCAGGTGAGTCTAGGGAGAATATTAGTGCCATGCATGGGATAACATCAACCAGAGGAGGACGATTAAAAAAATTATATTGTCAACGGTACAACAAGATTTAAACTTTCAGTATGTGTGCCAAGCTTTGGAAAAAAGATGATAATTTTTGTATTTTCATTTTGAGAATAAAGTGAAAATGTGGAGAATGTGGGAAATTCAGTATTAGTACCAGGCCTGAAAAAAACATAAGATTATCCTTTCTTTCAGTTTGCAATAGCCTATATCTTACAGTATTAGGGAAAAAAGTCACAATAAATATGTTTCAGTAGTAGGGAGAAAAGTTGCAATGTTGGGATCAAACATCAAACTTTAAGGTTACATCAATCAACTAACATTAGCAACCATACTGAAAGCTCTTCATTCTTACTTGTTTCCCTTATTCCTGGCCCATACTCTTTCATATACTCATGTGAGTGTCTTTGTTTTTAATGTTGTTACTTACTAGAACAGATTGAACAGACATTAATCGGATTTCTTTGGGAGAAAATGTATACTATGAGGGAAATCTCCTTTAAAATTAACCAGGAGATCATTGCCTTCATACAGTAAGTTGAAGAGATATTATCAACATTATTTTATGCTATGGTGAATGCCCCAAAACACATGTTCATTGATTTCGCACTGTAGCCATACCTAAATGCTAAAAAAGTAATCAAGTTGACTGCAAAAATTGATACTTTTAAGAAAATGTTCCAATGTAAATGACTGTATGTGGATGCAAGTCATTGTATTTAGTAACGTGTTAGGTCTGTAAAAATGACCAATTGTTCCTAAAAGAACAGATTCATGAAATAACACTGACATTTTGTTTCATGATGGCCATTTATATATCCGTATTAAATGAGATGACAAAACATGAAACAGGAATAACAGTACTGCAGTATTCTGTACTCCCTACTTGCAAGTGATATGTTCTGAATATATCCAAATGGACTGGACAAGTTATTATTTTTGTTCTCTGTAGATTCTGCAAAACGTTTCTGTCATCAGTCAGATATTCAAAATTGAGCAAGTAACTCCATGTGCTAGATTCTGGAAGATACTTCAACTAAAATCTAGATAAAACAGTCGTAGCCAGGTGCAAATATGCAAAATGGGTTGTGACTTCAGTAACCATGTAGTATTTAATCATTTGAAGTATTTGCAACCTTGTGAATTACGTCTGTGTGACTCACAAGCAAGATTAGAAGGAATCATTATTTTTAAATCAATTTTTCTGAGTTAATATACTTAAAGAAACATTCCACAAAGTCTTCTGAGTAAATGATTTTTACTATTATACAAAATCTGAATCTAATGCAGCAATTTATTATTATTATTAACATCATTCATTTTCATTATGATAAATAAAAAAGAATAGTCTATGTGAGGCTTTTTGGCCCCTTGTTTAACACCAAAAAAAAAGGAAAATAGTGTAAAGCTTAAATTAAAAAGGCACAATTAAAATGTGTTGATTAGAACATTTAAAGTGCTGATTTCCATATTTTGTATCCTCAGTACCCACGGTCACTGCCGCATTGTGTTTAAATGTGCATCCGAGACAAATGCAGAAAGCTCTGTGGAGCATTTCCGGTAAACATGATGGTGAAGAACGACTAGGGCTGTACCGAATACTAAAAACTTCATTCATAACGATGACAGTCAGAAAAGAAATTCCAATGCGTTTTAAACCTGGTATTTCTGCACATTTGCAGATACAGTTAGTCTACATACACTAATATTATTAATAGGCCTCTTTTAGGCTGCTAAAATACGCCGGTTCAGAGAAGCTTGTGTTTTGGTGAAAAAGCAGCATTCTGAGTAAGTCATTGATAACTCATGCAGAGTTAACTTCAATTTTCCTTAATCTATTATTCTCGGGCACCTAGTAAGGATGCCACCTGGGCGCTCCCTAGGGAGGTGTTCCAGGCACGTCCAGCTGGGAAGAGACCAAGGGGTAGACCTAGGACCAGGTGGAGGGATTATATCTCTTCGCTGGCCTGGGAGCACCTTGGATCCCCCAGTCAGAGCTGGTTCATGTGGCCAGGGAAAAGAAAGTTTGGGGCTCTTTGCTGGAACTGCTACCCCCGCGACCCGACCACGGATAAGCGGGAGAAGATGGATGGATGGACACCTACATGTGTTTATGTTGAAAAAACTAACAAGTTATATCCATAAAAAAGGTCTTACTCATTGACTTCATTCAAATGTATGATTTTGTTTTTTTCGTTATTTTTGGTGACAGACATCTGAATCTTCCTTCAAGAAAATCAATTGTAAAAAAGAAAGACATTCGGTACAGCCCTCTTCTCCACACTGTAAGGCAAAGTAATAAAAGGTGTTCAAATGTGTTGGATATGATTCTTGGCAGCAGCCTCCACTGAGGCCCAGTCCTTGGTTTTGATGGCATGGCGTGGTCTGGATTCAGAGAGGTATTAAAGTCAGTAACATTTGGCTGTGTTATGTCAGCATCACAAGGTCCGATGTGACTAAGTTAGTGCAAGAGAGTCTAGCTACTTCAGCACTGTCGCTCACACACCACCCTCCACTGTTAGGTCAGGCCAAACGCCCTCATAATTGCACTTGAGGTTACTTCATGTGAAAGCTAGATTTTCAGTTATTGTTCTGTCCGTCAGCGCTCAGACCCGCAGATCCGCAGATCCCTCTCCAGGTATTTCTTCATCCGCTGACAGCGAGGACACGAAACCCCCGCAGCTTTGCAGGCCAGGTGAAACACCGCCTTACAATCTTTACACCTGGGGTAGAGAGGATAAGAAAAAGAGATTTAAAGAAACTGAATGTGACGTCGATTTAGAAACCAATACAAGTTCCACACCACATCTAGAACAACAAACAGATCGACATTTGCTGGATCCACCTATATTCTCAAATTGAGGTAATGTAAAATTCCATACTAACTAAGAAGAATGAAATTGAGTACATACATGTGCATTGTATATGTTTGGTTTGTATTTAGTCAGCTATTAAATATTTTGGTTATTCCCTTTAAAATAATATGTTTTTTTAATACCAAGACCTGACTTGGTCAAAAGGTCAACATGTAGCTTGGTCTCAGTATATAGAATACAATGTGAAACTTGACTAATTTAGCAACATACATTAAAAGTTTAACCGCATATTAGTAAAAAAAAAAAAGTACAAAATAAGTGCCTAATGTAGAGAAAGGCAAATCTTAAAAAAACCAATATGGAACACTTTCCCTCCAAAATGCAGTCTTCCTTCATAAACTGTTAACTTGAAACAAATACAAAGTATTAAAAAAGTAATTGTGGGGATGAACAAATCGGATACATACCTGGTGGTGATGTCAAACTGGAAGGGGAAGATGATGTCATTGGCGTGGCAGATCTGACAGATGAAGCCGCGCTGCGTGCACAGGTCACAGTGGAACACGTGGTTGGAGGCGTACTGCAGCAGTGTCAACAGGTAGTTTGCATATTGACCCTCTGCTATCTAGAAGAAAAACAGACATTTAGGGATGTTTCATGGTGGCACATGTGAGGGCTATTAACAAAATTAACACAGCAGGATACCTGTCGCAGGTCCAGCACGCTGTACAGATGGCTCGACTCCAGCAGGTACGTCCGCTGCTCCATTCTGACCGAGAAATACAAAAACAGCAGTATTATATAATGTCGTAGTGAAATATGGTATAATGTATGAGGCCCCTGCGTACACACACCTGGCCTGGAGTTTTTTGCAGGCTCCACTGCGGCAGGTGAGCAGGTAGTCTCCCAGCAGGCGCAGCCTCTGCCGCAGCACGTGGGCCTCAGACATGGGGTCTGCGTGCTTCACCAGCTCAGGGTTCAGCTGATCCAGGTTCAGCAGAGGCTCCTGCTCCACCTGAGCCAGCAGATGCAGGGCCTTCTTACACACCTGGAGAGAGACACACACACCGCAGGAGGTCAGGACGTGATGAAGTGTGTGATGACTGGGTTTCTAACCTGTAGGGCAGTGGTCACCAACCTTTTTAAGCCCAAGATCACCGACCTCGGCCTAGGTGAAAGGCGAGATCTACCTATTGCAGAATTGAGTGAAAAAGACGGCCGAGACAGTGCTTCCAATTTGAGGCCTTTTATATAGGCTAATTGCATCTGAATTACTGTTACAATGAAGGCTCCATAATTAGCTCATGGCATATAGGCAGGGGTAAAGTGCTATTGGGGGGCGGACCTCTCCTCCTCTAGGGGGGTCCGGGGGGATGCTCGCCCGGGAAGATTTTTTTTTAAATATTGAAGTTGAAAGCATCAATCTGGTGCACTTTGAGAGCAACATGAAGAGATATATGGATACCTCTCTCAGCACCCATATGAAACAGAACTGTAAACAGATTTTCTTTTCCTTTATGGATATTTTACAAATCACTCCCCTTTTAAACTGTATTCTTGTTTTACTGCCATATAGTAGGCTATTTCATACCTGTTTTTCATTTATTCTCTTATTGTTTGTATAACTATAATGATCATATGAAGGTGTGCCGCGGAAATAATCTTTTGAATAATTTGTGACAAAACCGTTCTAAACACTCAGAGAGTCCTTTAGCTCACCTGAGCCCCTCAGTCTGACAGGAGAGGACTCTCCTCCAGCTTGTTGTGGAAACAGCTCCTTATGTCCGTTAGTGCAGCTAGCTAACCAGATGCTAACATCACGGTCCCCACACACACACACACACACACACACACACACCACACACACACACACACACACACACACACACACCACCACAACAACACACACACACACAAACACACACACACACCACACACACACACCACCACACAACAACAAACACACACACACACACACCACCACACCACCACACCACACAACACACACACACACACACACACACACAGTTATCGCGTAATCACTGCTCCTCTGCTCTCCCTGNCTGTCCTTGTCGCTTACTGGCCATGATGCTTGCACAGGCTGCGCTGCTATCGTTGACGCTGACTGACTTGACATCAATTTCGTGATCGTGATATGTGCACGAGCCCCTCGTCAACAGTATTTTAGCGGCTAAAATAATGTGGACGAGGGGCACGTGACGTGCACATATAAAATGTAGAATGTTGAAAATTAAACATTGGCAATATTTCCACATTAATTGATCAAATAACAGGGGATGGGAAGGGGGGATGGCCGTTTCATAAGGGGGATGGTTTTGACCATTTTAATACCTAAGGGGGATGCCATCCCCCCCCATCCCCCCTCAACTCGACTACTGGGTACTGCAATATTTGAAGAGCTGGAGCAGCGTTCCGATGCTCTCCATTACACCTTCCAGACGAGACATAACCACGTGAAGACCTATGGTGAAGACACGTTACGCTCGTGTTGTGTTCAATGAACCTGTCCTTGGCCAGGAAAAACAGGCACTCGCTTGTTTAATTATTTTGCGATCTAGATTTCTTCTTCTTTTTTGAAGTGAGAAGTTCGGACTGACGGACCCCCCCCCAAAACGAAAACTCTTCGGTTCTCCACGAATTACACAAGTCACCCAAATCAGCGTTAAAAAAGCGGGAGGCGCCGAAAAGCGACTAATTTGCATCACTGGATATCATAAATACCTAGGGCTAATATCTTTTTACATTTATGCACCAACATGTTATGTTTGGTACCCCTAAAGTCACATCTGGATACAGCTTGGGACCCGGATTGCCTTTTGTGTTTTTAAGGCAGCTCTAAANGTGTGCCTCGGACTGACGGACCCCCCCCAAAACGAAAACTCTTCGGTTCTCCACGAATTACACAAGTCACCCAAATCAGCGTTAAAAAAGCGGGAGGCGCCGAAAAGCGACTAATTTGCATCACTGCATATAGTAGGCTATTTCATACCTGTTTTTCATTTATTCTCTTATTGTTTGTATAACTATAATGAATATGAAGGTGTGCCGCGGAAATAATCTTTTGAATAATTTGTGACAAAACCTTTCTAAACACTCAGAGAGTCCTTTAGCTCACCTGAGCCCCTCAGTCTGACAGGAGAGGACTCTCCTCCAGCTTGTTGTGGAAACAGCTCCTTATGTCCGTTAGTGCAGCTAGCTAACCAGATGCTAACATCACGGTCCCCGCTAGCACCGGTCCCTCTCGGTCCCTCTCTCTCTCCCCCTCTCTCTATCACACTAAAAGCGCTATTGCCACACACACACAGAGCCGAGCTTGAATGACACAAGCACACGTGTATTTCCATGCAACTCTCTGATTGGTCTGGTGTCTTGCCTCTGTTGCGTTCACTGAACACGGGAAATTACAGTCCTGCCGTTGTCTCTTGTGTCAGTGTCATGATGAGGTTCATGTAAAGCACGGTTAATGTATTATATTATTGAGGTGTCTCAAATATACGTCAATCAAGTGGCACCTGCTAACGGGGTGGTGGATGATAGGTTTACATCTAAAAACGTATTTTTCAAACATTATTATTTAAATTGTATTTGTCTTTCTTTTGTTACTTTTTTTTTTAACGGTCCGCGATCTACCCGCACCACACTCGCGATCGACCGGTCGATCGCGATCGACTGGTTGGCGACCACTGCTAGGGCTATAACCAATGTCTTCTTTTTGTATACCATCTGAATCATCCATTGAGGAATACAAATGTAGCTTTAAATGTCTATCGTCATATTTTAAGACGTCATCCACCCAAAAAGGAAAAAAAACATTCCCAATCTGATCAAAGTGATTATTTTCTATTAAATCCACTTACTTTCATGAATATAATTATTCAGTGCGTGCTCCCCCTTGTAATTGGAATAGCAAACTGTTAATGACTACGGTGAAAATGTTGTTTTTGAAAAGATAAACGCCATAAAGTATGAATTGAAATATGGTAATTTTGGAAGTTAAGACATCTATTTATTTTTGTTAAATGTTGACTCTTGGACCTTAGAAGGCTCTGGAGTTTTTTGAAATCTTAGTATCACACACGTCAGAAATAATCTCTGCAGCAAGCACTGAAATCTATTGTAATGCTATAAATAGTATAATACCAATAATATTGGTGTAGCCTAATATGTGTTCACAACTGTACATACCTGGGTTTATACAAAATGAAAAAAAAAGAATTGTTCTTCTTCCTTGTCAAAATATGGTGCCTACATTACCAACAATGCAACATGGCAAGGCTTTATACATTGTTCTCACAAGTGAAATTATTGCAGTCGCTTTAAATTATGTTTCAGCCTGAAATCCGATAAGAACATCTACAGTATATACTGTAGGTAAAGCATGCTGCACCTACCTCTCTTTGTGCGAGGTCCCAGTTGTGCACCATGCGTGAAGGGATAATGCTGGTGTCGCCATGGTGACAGGAGTCACAGAAGTACTGTCGTGTGAACTCACAAAGCCGGGCTCTGCCTCGGGACGGGCCAATTTGCTGAGGACACCCTGCACATGACACACAGCAAACAAACTCAGCCATGATGAACAACAACATGAAAACAAATGCATCCAGGCTCAGACACACAACACACACTTCTGCATAGTATAGATACCCCATACATGTTGCCATTAGGATTTTTCAGTGTCAGAGAGAAGAGATTATTTATAAAAAAAATATATATATTTTTTTTTTAATTATAGAACAGTCTCATGTTATTTATCAGAAAGAGTTGACAATGTAGATTGACGCTACAATTGGGACAAATGCTAAGTTAAATTAGTTTCTACAAATAAATAAATGTTGCTCTTGAATTCACAGCGCATCTCACTAGTTTGCTTGCTGTTGTCAGTTAGTTTTATAATTTCCTCCCTTGTGATGTCGTAAATCTGAATTTCTACTATTTTCTGACTGTTTATAGACAAAGTAATTTATGGATTGGTCTGAAAAAGAGCCATCATAATAGTCAAAAATGTAAATAATTGTTTGTTGCAGCTCTAAAAACCAACTACTTCTATCCTTCAACAAGCACACCATGCATCATTTAATCTCAAGCATGTCAATGAAACAAACCAGACTGGAGTGATCTGATTTAAAAGCAACTCAAAAAGGATAATCAATGTGTGTTCATGCTATTTGTTGCAATATTGGAAACTCAATGTTACCTGCACACTTGAAGCTCTGAGTGTCGAGCCCCTTCTCTGAGGGCACAGTGCACAGATTAACAAGCAGGGCCCCATCTTCTTTGAGTCTGTGCTGCACCAGTCTGTGGAGGTTTCCAGTCCCCACAGCCGGCTCAACGGAGCCTCCGTCCTCCCCGCTCTCCAGGTACGAGTCCAGAGCTCCGCGGATCAGAACCCTCCAGGAGCGAGCCTCCTCCGGGTTCTCCGCTCGGAGTCTCAGTGTGTCCCTGACGGTCAGCAGTTTGAAAAAGGCCGGCCCTCCCAGAGAGACGTCAGGCACCACGTCCCGGATTTCCTCAATCTGGTGGGTCTGCCGCAGCAGCTTCCTCCCCTCTTGGACCCGGAAACCTTTCAAGGCCTCCAAAGAGAGGGAGAAGACCAGAGGAGACCATGTCCGAGCCTCGGGATCATTGGAGAAGTACAAAACTGTTTCTTTGATCGCATCTGTTTCTATATCAGCAGTCCGAGTCCAGTCAAATTCCTGTAGAGGAGGCGCCTCCTGCCCCCCCCCTGTCCCTGTGTCAGAGGCTAGTGAAGTGCGCTCAGGGCTGGGGGGGGTGGAGGTTGGGGACAACGCATCCACACCGTTCTCAGTGGTGGGTACCAGAACCTCCCATTGGTCTTCAGCATGAGATGCTGGACGGCATTTCTTGACGGCTTCTACGATCCGGTCCACCCAGTCCTCGGCTTCGTCCCGATTGGCCGCCCGGAGGTACAGCCGCTTCCCAGGGAAGGCCACCTCGAAGCGGCCCTCAGGTGAGGCGATGCGAGCCTCCTCACAGCGCAGCAGGGAGCAGTTGTCGCTGCAGGTGCGCTCCTCTGCATTGAGATACAGCCGGAACTCGTAGGGCGACAGCTCACAGTAGTTATCGCGCCACATTCCCATCGCACCGCGCCGCTCCAGCTGGCCGAGCTTCAGCAAGCCCCGGAAAGGGTTGAACAGCCCTGACAGAACAGAGTCACAGTAAGCTATTAAATACATTATTTTTGGTCTATTTTGACATTATGGAGACAGGTTGACAACTAAAGACTCATTTTATTTTTGACATAACTGCTTTGAAAACTATTTTGGACCCTGATTTCATATGAAAAAAGTGATAAAATACTGTTTAAAGGAAAGAGTAATACAACTGAAATAGAGCTGCAAAAATAAGCCAAATGGACAGAAAAACATTCCCAACTGTATTGATGGTCTATTTATTATTGTTCTTAGGTTGAAGAAAATGCTGTTTTTCGCTCCTTAATATGGAGATTTCCTGCTTTTCTCTATGAAAATATTTGTTAAATAAAGCCCTAAACTTTAGTACTAAAATGAAGCAACTATTTATATCATCAATAATATTTTTTCTTACAAAAAACGAACACAAACACATCATTAAAAAAACAGTTAGGACATTATATAAAATAATGTAATTCTATATTTACTAATGTAAAATGTCGATGAATTAATCAGTAAAGTTCCAACATTCTTTAGTAAATGTAGTGCATGCCCATATTGCCTCAGTAGGTGATGAAATGAAAGAGTGACCTGCTGTAGACCAGTGACATGGTTACATTATAAACCTGCTGATGTCATTTAGTGAGATTATATAGCAGCAGCTCCATAGTCCAAGCACTGATGAGGTGACGTCTCGCAAGACATATAAGTTTATCACATTCCAGAACAATCAAAAGCTACATCCTAATGAATGATGTAAGGTTTCCCATTATCAGCTGGTGGAAAACACCTGTTGTGATGTAACAGTCTGGGGTATGGTTGGTTACACCTGTATTGTTTTCATTCCACAGGGCCAGAGGACTGTAGTACGAAGCTGGATTTTCGCTTAGCGGGCTAACTTCAGGGAAAACTCGGGGTTTCCGGTCCTACGAAGCTGGTTCTCTTTTTAGCGGGCTAGATCTCCATGGTAACTTATGCTGAGCAGCTAACCTGCTCCGGAGCAGGTTAGGTTGCAGGCTAAAATACACATAGCCTTCCTCAGGCAGTGTGTTTGTACCGGGGACAGGAGACACCCCCATGATAAGAAACTGTAAGAAATGATCGGGGAATCCCTCTGGAGTGGAGTCATGGCGACTGGATCTGAATTATTTGTTTGTATTTGGTGGTTTGTGTTCCAGCTGTCGATCAGCTGTGCGCGGCGTCTCCACTGCAGTCTGTGCGTCTCAACCCCCCCGCAGCAACTCTATATCCTCCAGTTAAAGGAAATAAAACTAATGTGTTTTGTTATATTAGCTGTACAATTCACCAAATATGGTGTTCTTAGTTTCCATACCTCCTGTGTTTTACGAGCGACTTATCAAGTATTGGCGAACGGCATAAAACATGATTAAACATGAAAGTATATAAAACCATGCTCGTATCTACAACCTAGAGAAAAGCAAAACGGCGTCAGTTTAAAGTAATTCTGTCTTCCTACTTACCGCATCATTTATGAGAATACATTTCCTAACAAGAGAACATAATTGAGGGGTGATCAATAACATTTCCGTATTTATTTATTTTTAAGTTATGTTTTTGTGTGCACTGAGGAGGAGTCTCAAACAGGCGTTTGTTTAATCATTTTAAGATTGGCTTTAATTAATTTTTGCAAATTAATTCTTCATATAAGATAAATGAGAGGTAATTTCATTTATGGTATTATTTCCACGGTGTCGCAGTTTCTCGTCTCTCCTGTTTTTGTGCGTACCGCGTAAGGATGGGTCAGAGTGTGCGTGGAGGACCGCACATTTTCCCGTCAAGTTTGTTTTTTATAAATCGCAAAGATTGCTTAGAAACTGGCGTACCCCATCTTTTGAGCGTACGCAACGTTTATAAATGAGGCCCCAGGGCCTTTTTCTCATAAACAGTCTGACAATACTCTCTCCAAACTTAACCTAAAAAAATCTACCGAAGAGTCTTAGCTAGAAAAATGTTATCTTGGTGTGGTGGACCCAGTTTGATTGGTGAATCAAAACAATAAATAAATGAAATGCCCTTTTAGTGACATGGGCGTAGAACGGACTGTGAAATCAACAGGCCTAATCATACTATAATTTAGTTTTTATTAAGGTATGTTACTATAAATATAATGTTATCTTATGACACATCTGATGTATAATTTGTAAGCCACACTTTATGTTTAAAACACAGGCTAATTATACAGTAGCATATGGAGCTGTTGAAATTGTTCATAGTTATTTGCATATGTTTGTTAACCATGCTGGTCATTTTAATAGTTAATCTATGTAATAGGGTTAGGTTTGGCCAGTTGAGTAGCACTTGAAATATTTGGCTCTATGAAACCTGATGTACTTATATGATTCTGTTTTCTTCAAGGTTGTATCTTCCTGGTCGAATGTACTTATTGTAAGTCGCTTTGGATAAAAGCGTCAGCTAAATGCAATGCAATGCAATGTAATGTAATGTTTAGTGCCAGCATTTAACAATGTCTGTGATCACGGGCCAGTCTATATGCAGTGGCGTTGCTTGGCATGTTAATCTACTTCAAACCAGCGAACAAGCCATTTTGTCCTCTGCTTAAGAAACCCCTAAGCCTCTTAAAAGTCCTTCTCCATATTACTAATAGTTTGTAACCGTAAAAGCCCTCTTAAGGGCTAATGTCCTCTGTATATAACTTGACCAGAAGCGAGTCTCTACTGTAAGAGGAGATTCTTAGAAAGCAGAAAACAGGTAGGAAATATATTTAGCCAGAATGATTTCGAACCGCATGTTTCACCTCTTTGTCTGCGATGGACGACGCCGGGGGGGGACTGAGAGGGCTCAGCCGGGGGGGCTGGAGGAGGCGCCTCGCTCTGGTCCGGCACCTCCTCCAGGCGGGGCATGTAGATGTCATCCTCAGAGATCCAGGAACGAGAATGCTGCAGTAGAAAAAACAAACATTTTGTAATAACGAGATATAAGAATAATGCCCACAACAACTTTGAATCAAAGTTTGTGCATGTAAACTCTCTGCCTGTTTCCCTTGTACTGCTGCAGCATTTCAAATAATCTAACTGCATTCGATTTAGATTTGTATCTACATTAACATTTTGCAAAAAACGGAACAACATGTTGCATTGCCATCAGACTAATGTAAAGTGGTGCAGGTCTAAAGGTTCTTTTATCAAAAATACCTTATTGCAAGGAAATAAAACGACAGGACACTTAGGGCTAAAGTAATTTGTAGATTAATCAGAAACTATTTAATTTACAAAGTAAGTTAGCAAAAGTCATTGGCAAAAGTGCCAATACATACTTTAATTTGATAGTTGATCTGTTTTTCTTAGTTTTATAATCACTCTAGAGCCGAATAACTTTGGTTTTTGGAGACAAGACAATTGAAGATGTCTTCTAGAGCTTACAAACTATTTGATAGACACTTTTTGTTGATTAAACGACAATGAAATGCTTTCAAACTAAATGAGTTGTGGATCAGATGTTCTCATTAGAGAACACAACTGAGCTGTACTCCAAACTGCCGTTTCTGTTGCCATGTGCCTTTGGGGTTATTAGTGTGAGAGCTACAAGACACTGTTATTATGAAAAGTGTCTTTTTCTGTTAAGGGTCATGTAAAGATGAAACTCATTTATCACTTAGCTTGACTAATTTGAATTACCAATGTGTAGACACCACAGAAAGTCCTGCTTTTAAGGAACATTGAGACATACCCTGCGTCTGAATTAAGAGTGCTTTGTGGGTATTTCATGCTGCAGGAAGTTAATTATCTGTACCATCGTTATTTATAACATCCTGCCACCGGAAAGGTTTTATGACATCTCTCGATTTTTTAAACACAGCAGGACTAACTTGTGATCTCCTTGAATGGTAAACATTTTTTAAATGTTCCAGGAATGATTAAAAAGCTTGTGTAGATGTTCCATGCTGACAAAGAGTCAGGTGTCCTATGTGTCATTTCCTAGAATATGGGCAGTTCTGGAGCAATTCTGCATTTCCTCATGCTAAGCAATGTGAGTAAAACACTTATTGCTTAGCACTGTTTTAGAAGTGCTGTTTTTTCAGAAAACACGACTTGTATATTTAAAAAAATAAAATAAAAGGCTCTTTTAGCTTTCCCAAAAATTGTATTTGTACTTGTTTAAATATAATAAAGCCTTTAGTGGGTGCCGGTTTCAGATGACCTTATGTTGGTCCTCCTGGGTCCTACATGTTATTGTTTTTATTGTATTTGTTGTTTTCTTTTTATTGTACGTAATCTTATTTTATTTGTATCTATTCTTATCTTGTAAGTCTATTATATCTTTAAGTACTGTCATTCATGTTTGCTGATCTGTAAAGCCCACTGAGACGAATGTGTTTTGTGATATTGGGCTATATAAATAACATTTGATTTGATCTTTTTGTTGTATTTTTCTTCTCTACATGATTAATTTCCTTGTACAGTTTTCACTTCTTAAATCAGCTTTTGGTAAACTGTAAGCTACTGGCCATTTTATAATTTTGCACAATCTGCATTTGTTCATATATTGATCTTCATGTTTCTACATTCTATCTTCTTTTTTTATCTCTAACTATTAGGAGACTGTCCTCTTATTTAAATACTTACTGATAGAGAACCTGTGGACAGTTTCCTGCTCAGGATGCTGAGGGAGTGACTTGAGCCTGGATGCACTGAAGGCTCTGGAGTTTCTTCTTCTTCCTGTTCAGGCTCTGTAGTCTCATGAGAAAGGTTTGCATGTTCTTCTTCTTCTACAGACTCCACCGGCTCACTGTATGTGTCCAAAGGGAGCTCGGCAGAGGTATTGTTGCACACTTCAGGCAGAGTGTAGTCAACATGATTCTCATTAGATGTTGGCGAGGGCTCTGAATCAGATTTTGGAAGAGGGTCCACGAGGTCCTGGGATGAAGAAGGGGGACCCTGGGTCTCGCTGTCGGAGCCGCTGAAAACGGCCGTCTCCGAGTTCTGGTCGGGATCCGTGCTGGAGACAAAGGAGTCTTCACGCATGGAGTCCTGACTGCAGTGTCCGCTCTCCCTGAACTCTGTCGGAGAACTGCAGAGACAAGGACAGGTCATGATACGTTTTACTGCAAGCTTAAATAAGGGGTATGAACAGCCTTTAAAAAGTTACATGCAAGCACCTTTCTAGGTACCCAAACAAATCATTTCCAGACTCTTGTATCTTTTATCATCACATTTAAATTCTTACAACAAATGCAACTCTGAGAAGTCCAGTATACCCACAGCAATATCCACGTATATTTTCACTTTGTTTATTTTACCAGCATATTCATATTAACATTTTGATAATGATCATTAAATCCTAACTAGCTCTGTTAGGTGAGACGATAGGGGGAAATAATAATATATAAAATCAGGATTGCTTTATTGAAAGAATTCAAATATTTTTGATTTACATGGGTGACAAAAGTGTTGATTGATGAATTACCCAATAACTTGAAAATCTAGCATTTCTGGTTTAATGGTTTGAATTAAGCACTTTCCAACATTTAAATACTTTATATAAAAAAAGAGTTAAATGTTCCATTTACAAATTATAATGCTTACATTAGAACATATTTTTCTTATTGTCAACATTTTCAAAGCAAAGCACCTAGGTCATTCATTTCCATTGAAGACAAAATATTTTTTTTTTTAAAGGCTGTCATTTCCTTAAACAGCTAGACACCTTTTAACCAACAGCAGTAAAAGAGAATTCATTAAGGACTATTTTTAGGTGCGGATTAATCCACATTTGGTGCTTTAGTGAGTATTTATAGCAGTAGGACATTTAATAGGATTAACTCAAGATAAACTACAGTCAGTGTGTTCACGGGAATAAAGTAACATGATGTCACCCAGTGCAACAGTGTGGCTCATCAATGCTCTCTATGGCATACAGGAATACAATTAGATTCTTTTTAGCATGTAATCATTATTGGTCTTTTTATAGGATTTGTTGACAATAAGAATTATAAAGAATACCACCACATACATCCTTTTTCCTCTATCTGCTCAAATCAAAACACACACTTACTCCTTCTGTAGCCTCTTGGTGCTGATGTTGACGTTTATGGGCATGTCCAGGTCGTATGAGGACCAGGGCTCTCCTGTGGGGCTGCGGGGGTCCTGCCCCTGCAGCAGGCTGTCAGAGCTCAGGCTGGAGGAGAGCTGCGAGGAGCCCGTGGTGTCCAGGCTTAAATTTGACGAGTTCATTGCATTCCTGCCCCCTTGTAATACCCCTGTGCCTTTCCCTGGGCACCCTCTCTGCATATCCTGTGCATCTGAAGAGCCTGACGACTGCGACACTGTATCCCATTCTTTGTTTACAGATTTGGCGGTGGGGTGGTCTACGCCGTTGAGGGGCAGTTCGACCGTGTCCGCCTGGGACATGGGGCAGAGTCCGGCGAGAGCCAGAGGCGTGGTGGTCCATTCGTTGAGGACAGCAGACTTGTAGGATAGGTTGAACGTAAGAGAGGCGAGACCCTGGAGGTAGCTGAGCAGGACTTCCCTCTCCTCGGTGTTCAGGAGCAAGGCACTGGGCTGGTAGTGGCCCCGCAGCTTGGAGCCCTCACGAAACAGTGATGCTAAGTAGCACTCCAGCAGGCCGTGGTTGAGGGCCAGCCGCAGCCACGCTCGGCAGAGACCCACCTCTGTTCCCACGAAGCTGATCTTCTCCAGCTCAGTGACCACATCACTGGGGAAATAACACAGTTATTACACTTTGGACTAAGATTTAGCAGATCAGTATAAAACATTTAGGACAACTCAAGGTTGCATATAATATCAGTTAATCTGCTGATACATGTCTTGATTTATTGGTCTATAAAAAGTCTTTGAATAAGGAATATGCTGTTCTTTGTTGCTGGATTTGACCAGATCCTTTTAGTAATTGTATTTCTAAATGTTTTCCAAATTTAGTGACACATTCAGACCATCGGGGAAGAAAAGAGAAATATATTGAAATATGTTTTATTGTAATTCCTTCTCATGCATGCTTCTAAAAGTTATAATATATATTCATATATAAAATAACTATAAAAAGAAAAATATTACTAAAAGTTTCGTGTATATGTCTTAAATGATAGTTACAAGAATGAAATAAACAGACTTGGATAATAAACACAAAACCAATTGAGCAAGACAATGATCATCTGTGCATCTCTTGAAAGCTTGATTTATTCCTATCAATAACTCATATTTGAAAAATGTTTCCCTTTGTCATCATATAAGAGAAATAAAAATAGTAAACCATCACATTAGAGAACCAGGAATCAGTGAATGTTTGGAAGTCTTGCTTTGAGAATGACCAGAACTATTTTCTGGTCATCGAAATAGTTGCAGATAAATATTCTGTTAATCTTGTCGGATTCATCATTTCAGCTCTTATTCTTCTTCTCATTCTGTCTTTTTGAGAATAAATGTGTCTTTACCGATGGGTGACGGTCTTGAGGAGGCTCCAGAAGAAAGGCTGTGGGAGCGGACATCTGCCTCCCTTCCGACTCCGGCCCCCAGCCTCAGAGCGGACGTACTTGCTCTTGATACCGTGGATGAAGATGGCCTCCAGCGCACAGCAGAGCAGGTTAGCATCGCTGTCCTCGCTGGTGACCACTGTGTCTGACGTCACATATCTCTTCTGAAGGGCCTTGAGCGACTGTGCCAGCTTATCTTTGATCTACATGTGACAATGTGTGAGAGGGAGAAGTATCATCAGCTTCCTGCTTTTCTTTTGGAGAGAGGTCCACTGGGGTGTGGTGCGGATGAGAGCAGGTTAGCACATAACTTATAACTCTGTTCACAAACACATATAAGAGCCACAGCAAAAAGAAAACACTCAGCATCATTTCTTCATTCCAATCTCTATCTTGATGGGGAATAGATTGAGTGAGGTTAGTGGCCATGGGGTTACAACAGAGGCCTTTAGATGATCTACGGTCACATGACACCTGCCCTCAGCTGACATGGACAGACAGAGAACATAAACATAACCTACATTATGGTATAGGTTGCTTACTTCTGCAAAACTAAAAAGTGAAAAACGATGAACTTGGCGTTCTCTAAGGTGAGCACTGAAGCACTCTTCATTTACAGTGCTTGACTTGGCAGGACTTTAGCCTCACAGCTAAATGAAATAATCTAGGACCAGTTACTTGCCTGCCTCATAGCTTCTCCATGACTCACATACATTTATTCAGCAAGTCAGCCGTGTATTGGTACACTGTCTGCAAGTCCTGTTGTAAAAAGCTATATTAAAACAGAATTACAGTAAATTGTGCTAAGGGTTTTCCAAGACTTTTTAAACATTAAATTCACTTGAAGAACCTTTTATCTAATAATATCACATGTGTTTAAATTGCTATATGTAATAGTGTCCTATGTACGTTCTCATATTAATTTGTCATGTATGATGTTTTTCATACATGTGATGCATGCATAATGAGCCTAGGCCTGTCCTATGAAACAGTTAACATAAATACATACATTCAAAATGTATATCTATATAAGTAAAAGACTTAACTGTAAAAATAAGTTTGCCACACATCAATCACTGAGTTAAGATCAGGGCAGAAGTGGTATAATGTGAAGTACAGTTACAACATGTTCCATGTCACAACCTGTCTATGTTGAGACAAACTCCATGAGCAAATAAAGATCAACTTGACACCTTCACATTTAGCAGAGAGGCAAAGTGAAAGCAGCTACAAAGTAACAAGATCATATGTGGTAAAAGCCCGTGGTTTTACCTGTTTGACATCTTTAGCCTCAGGTGGCGTATCTGGCATCTGTGTAGCTAGCATGGCATCTTCTGGGAAGGTTTACGCCCACATGGTAAACTGAAAGACATACAACAAAAGACTATTCAAAACCTGAACTTCTCTAACAACCACGATATTGACCCCTGCTTCCCCAATGACTTGACATTTAATAGTAAAGATGAACAAACAAGCTGTGCAAAAGGCAAAGCATGTGATAATAAAGGAAGCTGGTTTTTTCCTTCTCCTTCCTTCCTCACTACATTTTACAAGTACACTGAGCTATCATTACATTTGCCATCACGAGACTGAGTTCTGATACATATCTGCTCTTTCATGGTTTCAGTAAGGGACTGCTTTGTAACTGAGTCATGTGAGGACGCTGATTAAAAGAATAGTGGTGTCAGCAGGGAAGTAGCAACAAAATGCCTCAGGACTAACTTCCTCAAAAAAAAGCAAATCAGGACCCAATAGCATGCCACTCAGATTTCCTGACATGATCAACACGCAGATAAGATTAGATTAACTGTTTAAGAGCTTTATTGGTCCTCAAAAATAGAAATGTAGAGACAAGACATTGTTAAGTGAGTGGTGATTAATAGCAGCTGACTCAACAATTTGTACACTTCGTTTATAAAGAGGGGAAAATCATGTTTGACTGTATTGACAAAATTAAATACAGAACCAGATTCAATGTAACATATAACCGTAATATCGTTAGTATCATGGTACAATATGATACAGTATGTGATGCCTAACAAGGTGTAGTGGTGTAGTAACATTGCATAACATAATATATTTTATATATAAAAGATATAATATCTATTATAGTACAATAATAAGACAAAGTATATGGGTTGAGTATAGTACAGCAATATAAGATAGCATAACATACAGGTGAGGGCTGCAACTAAAGATGTCCCAATTTATCTGCAGACGATTCTTTAGATTAATCATAATTTGGCATATAATATGTCATAGTAAACAAAACATGTAAAGTGATATCTTAAATTGTCTAAGAAAAGCAATATATCTCCATATTTAATAAGGACAAAAACAGCATGTTTGATATGTTGAAAGAAAAATAAACGATCGATTGTTTTGAATAATACAATGTTAATTTATCTGGTGATCGACTAATCGATCATGGTGGCTGGTCTCAGTACCATATAGTATATGCTATAGTACAATAATATAATATCTAGTATATGAAATAACATGGTTTAAGATATGACATAATGGGGTGTGTAGTACACCAATATAACATAGAATTTAATAGATATCAAATATAACAGTATCATAATAGTGTTGTACAGTATATAAGACCTAGAGGGAAAAAAGGATTACTTAACAACATTATTAGAAAATACAGTGTGGTGAATAATTGACCTTACAGCAGCATGTTGAGACATGTTTAAGTAAAAACTAGCATAACATCACACCTCCATAATCGTCAACAAAACTGTACAGCAAGTTGCCAATTTTTAGTTAGCTTCTGTTTTGGGCGTGTGTGGGAATTTAGGCTCGACAGGGAACTTGACCCATCGTAATATTAAATAAAGGTAACAGGAAACAAGCTGTAAAGCACAATTCACATAGCAGTTCAGTTGAATCCATAAAAAATGACATTAACAGTAAACGTGAGGCTGAATAATGTGGTGTTAGTAGCGGTTAACGTTAGCTTTCTTACCGAAACAAGGCTGGCTAACTTGCCATTAAGGTCCAGGCACCCGCAATATCCTCCGGAAATGGCTATAAATTCAGTAAATGTACATTAAAGTCATGTCAATCCGTACAGTCGCCCTCCGTAGCTTTGAAAACACCCAAAACGCAAAAAAGATCGTTAAATAAGATGTGTTTCCTGGCGAGGTGAGAGCTCTCTTGTCACTATCACCATCCTGCTGAAGACAGATGCATCATGGGAACTTAACCAGTGATGCCTTCAGGCTCTACATGAAATACAGTAACAATGACATGAGCGTGACAGGAATGTAAACAACTAACATTTAACAGAAAATAAACATACCTCATCATCATGTCTCAAACGCATCCGAATATCCTACAGCTTTTGTTCTGATCAGTTCAACTATAAGAAGTATACAAAATACCACAAAAAGGGTATTTATTACGATAAAAATAGCATTGACATGATTAATGATGTTATTGCACTTATATGTGTAGTATGCAATTATTTAACTTAAATAAGATAACTAACACTAGTATAGGTGTCATTTTTGCACTAACATAAATTACTTACTTAATCATAACAATTAGTGTATTTGCCTGAACCAAGTAGAAAAAGCGGTATAAGTCCTTCTGCAGTGGTAGATATTGTTTACGAGTCACACGTAAAGGCAGCACAGCTTTTGAGGCGTGCTGATGTTGTGGCTGTATTGCTGACATGAGAGAACTTCATGTTCCCAGTCTGTCCTCTCAGAGTTCCTGACTGTTACAACACATCTCCTGGAAGTTTCCATCACACACTACGCAGCTTGTAAACTGTATAGTAACTCCACCAAATTACCCACACACTTTTAAATTACTTTAGCATATTTGTCTGTTTGTGTCATAAATTATAAGCAGGCAAGTACAATTAATGTGAAAATATAATAAAGAGATAGAGAGATGAAGTTGTCTCCCAACAATGGGTTGTTTTTGATGAATAACATTCAATTTCTCAAACAACTACAATTTTAAAACACAGTGATTTACTGAAAACAATTATTAATCAAAAACTGCCAACAGGGGCATTTGTATACCAATAATGATATCTCCTATTATTATTATTACTTTATTACTTTATTGGTTGTCATTCAATGTTAACCCTTGAACTTCTCGTATTTCTGTGTCATCATACAACATTCATAAAACATCAACCTTGCTGTGATTTTCACTTTATTGCTCTTGTGTAGTTTGGATTTGGATTTATTTTCCTATTTGTTATGTATGTAAGCTACTTTAAAAAGGGAGTGTTTGATATCCCACATAGGCCTACTGTTTAAGGAGAAAAAGCATGCACTAGAATATTAACACAATGAAAAAAAGCAGATGTAGCCTATTATAGTGACTGTATGCGTTTAATAAAATGAAGCCAATCAAGAAAAATAAATGGAAATGGAAATGTAATAATACACTAAAGAAGATGATGAAATACGAAGGAAACAGCTGAATTCCCCCTCTGGAGTTCAATAAAGGCTTATCTGTCGTTCCTCTTTTCAAGTCTCCTGAAGAAACGTCATGACGTGATTTCACTTTGCAGTCTGAGAACGTCACAGTGTTACGTAACGCAGCTCGGTGTCACTTTCACTTTCACTTTGGGGGAAGCACTTTCTTTCAATTTATGACATGTGTGGTATACGTTGATACTCCGAAATCAAATCCACAATAGTAAACATTCATTACAAATGTGATTAAACCGTAAAACACTGATATGCCAATAATAAGAACACTTGTTTGTTGTTTAAAACACATATTTATACATTTGAAACACATTTCTATCACAAAAATAGCCTGAAGATTGAAATTAAACTATATGTATAAAAGTATGTCCTTGCATCCTAATCTCCAAAACACTAAACTAAACTAAAATAAACAGACAAATCTGTTTTATAATAAATGATGAGATTAGTTTAATTGTATAGGCTATTCGAATGCTCTTTATTGTATGACGGTATAACCTCTCAAAATGTGGCGCAGTATTTAAGCTTGAATTAAAAAAATCAAATGCAACTATAACATAATGTTGCACATATAATTAGAGGACTAATTGGAATCCGAAAAGTGTGTGACATCATGTTACAGTTTGAGGTTGACTGCGGGTAATCCCGCATGTAGACTAGGAAAATGAAAGTGCGCCCTACAGTATAAATGAGGCGCTGCAGCTCTGGTTCCTCACTTCCACTATATAGCCAACAAGAGAAATCTCTATTTTCTCCATACAAAGAACATTTGTAGTTTTAAAAAATGCTCAAAGGAATGTTCTTCGTGTGCCTGTCTCTCAGTCTGTGGACTGCAGGCTCCTCTCTGAGCTGCAGATGGATGCAGGATAAATTCCAACAGTTCAGTAAAAACTCTTTGGATCTAATAGATACCATGGTAAGTGCACCTCTTTGGATTTTGGTTTCAAGTCATTAGATGAGTTTACTTTATTGACTGTTTACTTCATGATGTGTGTGTTTGTGTGTGATGCAGGCTAACAACTCCACCAACACCACTGTGGATGCTGGAGTGGGCTTCCCTTACCGTCTGTACAAAAAGGCGTCCAAAGCATCAGCTTACTGATGCTTTGGACGCCTTTTTGTACAGACGGTAAGGGAAGCCCACTCCAGCATCCACAGTGGTGTTGGTGGAGTTGTTAGCCTGCATCACACACAAACANTGGCTTGACAGTCTCTTGAAATACATTTGTATCTTCTTGTTCTTCCTCTTGTGGCTGTGGCTCCCGATCTAAATGAATGAAAAATGTATTATTTGATCATTTTCATAAACAGGATGTAAGTAAAAGAGACCTGATGCTTGAGCTTTTATGGAACAAGTAAGACTATGTCAATCCACAGTGAGACTTACACAGGAGCGAAGGCCGTCAGCCACCTGGGTTACAACCTGGAGGAAGTTCTCCTCTCTTATCTCCTCCCATGATGCTTTGCTGTTGTCCTCTTCAAACAGGACCACCATCTCCTCCAGAATCTGGACTGTGAAACTGAGTTTGTCCTCAGCCTGAAAGAAGATCAATCACAGGTTAAAAATAACTAACAACATTGTTCACTGAACATCATTTTTTCATAAAGGTATATCAGGACATGTGTTTTTATTTTAATATTTTTTCAAAAACTTGAGGCTGACTTACTGATGCTTTGGACGCCTGGTTGTACAGATGGTTAGGGAAACCCACTCCAGCATCCACAGTGGTGTTGGTGGTGTTGGTAGAGTTGTTAGCCTGCATCACACACAAACACACACATCATGAATTAAACAAACAATACACTCATGATCATCAATCAATCATTGATTAATTTAAAGAACATTCAAAAGAGATGCACTTACCATGCTATCTATTAGATCCAAAGAGTTTTTACTGAACTGCTGGAATTTATGCTGCATCCATCTGCAGCTCAGAGAGGAGCCTGCAGTCCACAGACTGAGAGACAGGCACACGAAGAAGATCCCGTTGAGCATTTTTTTTTTTAAAGGTATCGTTTGCTTTGTATGGAGATTGGTGATTTCTCTTGGTAGCTAGTGGAAGTGATGAACCAGAGCTGCAGCACCTGATTTATACTGTACACACCTATTTCATTTTCCTTTTACGCGGTCCTGAGAAATTCAACCTCAATATGCTTTTAAAAAGGTATGACACGCACGCATTTCGGATTCTAATAAGTCCTCGTATCAATTAAGTAGTAACAAGTAAACATTTGTATTTACATCTGAAATGCCGCTCTTAAGGTGAATACTGGTGTCACATCGGGACTTTAACCCTCAACTTTCACAGTAAACGCGGAGTGCATATGTGCACAATTACAAATATTATTATGATCTGCTCAGTTAATTTAGCTGATTCAATTATATTGTCTTATTCTTCAATTCAAGGAATGTTCAAACTAATTTAAACCAAAAAATTATCTTCATTAATTAAGTAAAAAATAAGAGTTATTTTACCATTAAAGCCCAACGTGACATAGGCTATACAATATATCACATTTCAGATTTGACGCTAGGGGGGGGTTTCTTGTTCCCCTTAATTTTCCCAAAAGTAGAATTGGGTCCAGGTTCTTATGGGGTAGACAACATATTTCTTACTTTAATTACATTTGAGTCGCTTATTACGTTTTAATGAGCGTTATTTTGACATTTTGACGTTTATTTAATTGATTTGCGCAGGTATTGTGGAGATTTAACATTTTACGTATTTATTTATTTTGATATGAAGTTTTTCTTGGTGGTGGAAATGGGAAATGTGGTAAAAATACAAGTTCCATAAGTGTATACACGATAATTCTCCATTTGTTGTGTAATTTCCACAACAGTATTTTATAATCTATGTTTACAACTGTAGATAGAACTGCAGCGCGTCCACATACCAAAAATGCGGTAAAAAGAAAGTGCTTTCCCAAAGTGAAACTCAGAGACTGCGGCCTGCGTTATGTTCTCCAATGTGAAAATAACAATGTGTTGATTTTGTTTGCTTACATATGATGCAATATATTCATTTATATATTGCATTCAAAATAAGTATTTGTGTATTTATATATAATATATTTTGTTTACATTGATGAACCTTATTTATATTTTCCAATTTATTTTCCAAATTCATTAAATTAATATATAATCCAGCAAATGTTTGTCTGTTTATCGTTTTTATTCCTATTACACAAACTAAATGGATGCAGTAATAGGCTACACTTAAATAAAATGCACGAACATGTGTTTAGGTTTATATTCTCTTCAGGGAGGTAAAAGATATAATTGACATAAAAAGTTGGATATTAAAACCGAATAAAGAGAAAACAAACATTTATATATTAGGCTCATATAATGAGCTGCGGTAGTGTTAGCAGTAACATCACTTTGCTTTTCCATTTTGTGTTAACTTACTTAGTATAATACAATCGATTTCAATTTGAGCATTATGAAAATAAATTAGTATTTGAACGTCAATTATAAAGCAAAACAATCTGGACATTTTCAGTTACCAGTGAAATTCGTACAATGAACAGATGGGCTTCAAATGATAGCGAAACAAGTCATCTATTATATTTCAGAGTCATGTAGCATCATTAGAAAGGAGGGTCAATTATTAAACACATTACTGTAATAAACCCTAACCTCTGATTATCGTGTCTTGTCCACATTGGTTCTTGGAGAGAAAATTAAAAATGCAATGCAAAAAAGAAAAGAAAAGATGCT